AGAGAACTGCTTGAACCTGGGAGGTGGAGGTTGCAGTGAGCCAAGATCACCAACCACTTGCATTCCAGCCTGGTGTACAGAGGAGACTCCATCTCAAAGAAAAAAAAAAAAAAAAATGAAGAAAGTCATAATCTGGCAAATGTATAATTAGAATACATGACAAGAAGTATAACAGCGGTAGATGTAGCATACACAAGCTGCGGACTCACAGAGGAAAGAAGTTTATCTGGGTGAGGAGTGCTTCATAGAAGAAGGTCTATTGAAATGGCTTTGAGAATAATAGGCTTCCCATTCAGGGAGAAGGGAACAAAGAACACACGGTAGAGAGGTGAGAGCTTGTGCAGTGAATACTCTGGCCTCAGCTCTCTGTCCTCGTGCCCTGACTCTTGCCACTGGAGAGATGGGGGAGCAGAGGAGTGGCAGAGGAGGTGGGGAGGAGGAGGACAGAGATAGGTGAGAACTGAGCCATAGGCATGAGGCTGGAGAGAAGTCTGGGGTGGCTTGGTGAGCAGGAGTGCTCTTATGGATAGGAAATGCAAGGGAAGAAAGGCCTCAGGAAGGATGAATGGAGAGTTCAGTTTGGGCATTTATATAAACTCTGGCTGCAAATAACAGAATACCAGCTCTCCAACAGTTTAAGTAAAGGGCTTACTTTCCCCACGTAACAAGCAGCCTGGAAGTGAGACAGGAACTCCATCAGTGTCACTGAAGGTCCCAGTGCTTCCCACCCCCTGCTGTCCTCAGGACCGTGGTCACACAAGATGACTGCTTCAGCCCAGAGAGCTCCACTTCTAGCTACAGGAGCCCCCCAGGAAGGAGGGTAGGGGGCCAGTGGTCCTCTCCTCCCATGGTGCTCTCCCTCTCTCTCTCTCTTTTTTTTGAGACGACAGCTCTTGCCCTGTTGCCCAGGCTGGAGTGCAGTGCACGATCTCGGCTCCACGAACCTCCTACTCTTGGTTCAAGTGTTATTCTCCTGACCTCAAGCCCTCCCTGAGATAGCTGGGATTACGGGTGTACTATCTTACCCCTCTCAAGCGCCGCGTGATTTTTTTTGTATTTTAGGTGTAGCGCATGGAGCCGCGCATGGGTCTGCGCATATGTGTGACGGCTCGCGCGGATCTCTGCATACATTGCTGCAATGCTCGTCGTGATCGCCACCTTCTCGGGCGCTCCTTAACAGGGCTGCAGATTTAATAAGTCGTGTGAGCCACCTCGCGCACCCAGGCCCGTCCTGCCTCTTCTTAAACAGGCATAGTCGAAATGCAGTTAGCTGGGAATCAGGGCACCCGCCACCTCGCCGCCGCTTGTTTTTGGTATTTTATTATTAGAGACGGGGTTTCACCGGTTAGCCAGATGTCTCCGATCTCACGAGCCTCCGTGATCGTCCCGTTCTCGGCCTCCCAAAGTGTAGGATTACAGGCTTGACGCACACTGCGCCGGCCTTTTTTTTTCTTTTTGTGTATGGAGACACAGATTTACCTTGTTGCCAGGCTGGAGGTAAAATGGCCTATCTCGGCCTCACCGCATCCTGGCTTCCCAGGTTCAAGCAAATTTCACTGCCTCAGCCTTCCTGGTAGCCTGGGATTACAGGCATGTGCCACCATGCCCGGCTAATTTTGTTATTTTTGGTAGGAGATGCGGTTTCACCGTGTTGCCCAGGCTGATCTGGAACTCCTGACCTCGGTGATCCTCCTGCCTCGGCCTCCCAAAGTGCTGGGCATTACAGGCTGTGAGCCACTGTGCCCAGCATTGCAAGGTTATTTCTAAGTTCTTTTTAGAGACTGGTCTAGCTCTGTCACCCAGGCTGCAGGTGCAGAGGCACAGTCATAGCTCACTGATAACCTCAACTCCCGGACTCAAGTGATCCTCCTGCCTCAGCCTCCAGCATAGCATGCACTATGTACCCGGCTAACTTATTATTATTATTATTATTTTTTTTTTTTTTTTTTTTGAGAAGGAGTCTCGCTCTGCCGCGCCCAGGCTGGAGGTGCAGGGCCGGATCTCAGCTCACTGCAAGCTCCGCCTCCCGGTCCACGCCATTCTCCTGCCTCAGCCTCCCGAGTAGCTGGGACTACGGGCACTCGCCACCTCGCTCAGCTAGTTTTCTGTATTTTTTAGTAGAGACGGGGTTTCCACCTGTGTTAGCCAGGATGGTCTCTATCCTCCTCGACCTCTTGACCTCGTGATCCGCCCGTCTCGGCCTCCCAAAGTGCTGGGATTACAGGCTTGAGCCACCGCGCCCGGCCTATTATTATTATTATTATTATTATTATTTTGTGTAGAGATGGGTTCTCAAAATGTCACCCAGGCTAATTTCTAACTCCTAGTCTCACACAGTCCTCTCAGCTCAGCCTCCTAATAGTCCTAAGTTCTATATATATATTTTTTTCAGAGTCTTGCTGTGTCGCCCAGGCTGGAGTGCAGTGCAGTGGCATGATCTTGGCTCACTGCAACCTCCACCTCCCAGGTTCAAGTGATTCTCCTGCCTCAGCCTCCTGAGTAGCTGGGATTACAGGTGTGTGCCACCATGCCTGGCTAATTTTTGAATTTTTAGTAGAGATGGGGTTTCACCAGGTTGGTCAAGCTGGTCTCGAACTCCTAACCTCGTGATCTGTCTGCCTCAGCCTCCCAAAGTGCTGGGATTAGAGGCATGAACCACCACGCCCGGCCAATAGTCCTAAATTCTAAGAGCCAATCAACCCAACTGCTCAGCAACTGAGGGATGTTTGAGTGTGCATGGATATGTTCATTTCTGTCCTGCTTTCATTGCAATGGCAAACTCTGAAATACTCACCTAATGAAGCATTACTCTCCCTTGAAAACATTGTTTACAAAGAGTTTATAACATAGAAAATGTCTTCTGTTGTGAAGGGAAAAAAGAAGCACACAATTGAAATGAGTCATGTTTATTACATTGTCTAAAAGCAAGCAAAATCTCTTCCCTAGCAAAAAGCTGGCAGGGCAGGGAGGCCAACGTTAAGAGTAGCAGGTGGTCCTCCCCTCCCTTTATCCTTCTGTTCTCTATTTTTTTTTTTTGAGATGGAGTCTCACTCTGTTGCCCACGCTAGAGTGCAGCGGTGCGATCTTGGCTTACTGCAACCTCCACCTCCCAGATTCAAGTGATTCTCCTGCCTCAGCCTCCCAAGTAGCTGGGATTACAGGCACCCACCACTACACCCAGCTAATTTTTGTATTTTTAGGAGAGATGGGGTTTCACCATGTTGGCCAGGCTGGTCTCGAATTCCTGACCTCAAGTGATCCACCCGCCTCAGCCTCCCAAAGTGCTGGGATTACAGGCATGAGCACCGTGCCCGGCCTATTTTCCAACTTCTGAAAAATGTGTGCACATAACTAATAAAGTGGGGAAGGGTATACTTTATGTTTCAAAATGACCTTGAGGGAGTAGGACAGAGATTGCTCTCAGCCCAGGTTCTGCTCCTCCCCCTGCTGCCTCGCCCCATTGCCCAGAGATACCTTCTGGGGCTGAACCAGGTTTCACTTGCCCCAGGGCCCTGCAGCTCTGGCCTTCCCCACCCCAAACCGCAGGGCACCCAGCAAAGGAGGCGCAATCCAGTACCTGCACCTGTTCCCAAGTGGAAATGCTGCCTCCAGGCAGCCAGGGCCTCCCCCAAGTCCTCAGCCCTCCCAGGAATTTCCAGAAAGGACTCATGGAGGAATTTCCTAGACGAAGACAGGCAGACAGACAGACAGACACCTCAGGCAGCTATCGTCACTAAGCGCAGATGTTTGCCTGCAGGTGATGTGCTGGGAGCCAACACAGGCACACAACTTTGAGGTGAGAGGCAGCACCAAGCAAGAATGGAGAGCAGACCCACCCGGGCAGGGTGGGGGCTGGCATGAGGAAGGGACTGGGAGGGGGCCCCAGAGTTGGTCAGCAGATCGAGTCTCCAGGCACAGAAGTCCCTACTGTTGTCTCTGAATGGCACAGTGCCTGCAACTCTCCCCTCAGCACAGCAGGCACCGCAGGGGCTCCGGGAGGGGTCAGGGCAGTGTGACTGTGAGTGGTAGGACTGCAGTCTGGGCTTGGGCACTTAGCAGGTTTGCTGTCCTGGTGGCTTGTCAATATCCCCTACTGGCCTGGAGGCTCCCCGAGGTAGTAATTTTATCTTAAACCCATCCTTACACTCTCGGTGCCCATCACAACACCCAGTTCATCACAACACTCAGTGTCTAGGGCTGCTCCAGTAGGGGGGAGGATGGACCTCCATATGGATAGGGGAGTGGATAGAGGAGTGATGGGATCAATGCCCGAAGTGAGATGAGAATACTGGGGACAGCGCCAAAGCAGGGAAAGAGGGCTCCAGGTCCTGTCGGTGCCCAGAATTTCCCTGCACGCTTCTGCACCCAGCTTGCTCCAGACCTAGACACAGGCAAGAGCTGACGTGGCCCCGCCAGACTGGGCCTAGCGAGCCCGAACCTGCCTGGCCCAAGCAGCTGCAGCGTGGGACCTCACACGTCCCCGCCCAGTCCCAGCGGTCAGAGAAACCAGGGAATCCGGCCCAAAGCTGTCTCCTCCAGGAGGCAACCGGGGCCACCCGCTGTAAAGAGCTGCCAGCATCCCTCCCCTCTCCAACCCCTCTGCTGGCTCCTTTTCGGAGCAGTTACGTCCAGCAGAAGTTAAGTTCCTTCACTGAACAGTGAGTGATTTCACCAAGTCCACAGATATTTACTGATCATCTACTGTATGTGCTAGATGCTGTGCCAGGAGCTGGCAATAAGATAATGAACAAAACAAAAACCCATGTCCTCCTGGAGCTTTGACTCTGTGGAATGCCCGAACTGGGATGCAGTACTCTCGCCAGGGCCACGTGTCCTCCTAGGTGAGCAAAAGGCGCGTGAGGTGCCGCCCTGGGACCAGTCGTCTGGTGGACTTCGTCCTGGGCGGGAGGAGCGGGCCGCACCTCGGGCAAACGCTTGGCTGGGCACGTCGCCTGGGGCAGGTGCGCGAGGGAGAGGTGGGTGGCGCTGGCCGTGCGCAAAACCTGGCCCTGACCCGGCCGCGGGGTTACAGGTCGTTGGTGCTCTGTATTTATTGTAAGCGCAGCGAATAGGGCCTCCAGCGGCCTGAGCGCACGTGGTGGTGCAGTGGAGAGCCGGCTGGGCCCTCCCCAGCTCCAGGCTCCTCCCCGGCGGGGTCAGAGCCAGACTTGCTGCGGCGTCCGGGCCCCGCGTAATTACAGGGGCTGTAGCAGGCCTGGCCGTAAAATAGGAGGATGAAACGGCCTGGGAACCGGGTAAGCTGGGCTGGAGCTGGCCAGGGGCCCCGGGTCGGTGGCTTCCCGCGATGCGCAGCCGCGGGGAAGGGCCGGCTAGGGATGCGCACACACACAGCACCAACCCAGCTCTCACACAGCCACACAACCACTCACGTAAACCACCGAACGCACGCAGACACACAACATTCGGCTCTCCCACTCCAGGCTCACTCGTGCACGCCTAATCAAACACCTGCCCGCCCTCTCCACCCCAGGAGCTGACACCCGCCCGCCAAGCCCTCTCCAGACGGCAGCAGATCCTGGCGGGGAGAAAAGCCCCGAGAGGCAAATTCCAGCGGGTTTGTTTACACAGCGCGGGGGAGGGGGCCGAGCCGGGTACTGGGGCCCGACTGACTGGGAGCCCCAGCTCAGACTGGGCCAGCCCCAGCTGTGCAGCCTGAGGACTGCGCACAAACACCCCTCCGCTCCACCCCACCCCCGCTGCACGCCGGTACGCGTCTCCCCTCCTCTTCACACGCTGTTCACAAACATTAGCATACGTCTGTCAAAGAGTTTCACACGCTTTCACACACGCGGCTGTGATACTACTCACAAATGCTTTCACACTAGCGCGCCATCACACGTATTTCATGTGTGGTTACAGTTTAAGTCAGCCTTCATGCCCAGATTCTCACAGTCCATATTCAGGAGCCCGTTTGCACGGTGTACGCGTGTGTTGTCACACATACTCAGGTCATCAGTGCCCTTTAACGTATCTAAAATAAGAACGGACCCCTCTCGAGCCCAGGGTCCCGCGTGTCGATCCTGCGCGCAGGCACTGATGGGATGGACAGAGGCGCCCTTAGCCCCGGCCGCACACGTTACACACTCGATCACACACAGCGTTGCACTTTATTCCCGGCATCTAGGCGATGACACAATCTCCAGAACAAAGACAACATTGACAAACCCAACAAAAACAAACAGCCGCATGTGTGTGGGGAGGGGCAGTCGAGCGCAGAGTCCGGGAAGGGGATGGGGGAGGAGGAGAGGGTGGGAACGCGGGCGCCCGAGCCTGGGCATGCGAGGCTCAGAAAGGTGCGGGGCATGTCAACAACCTCGCACCCTGCAAGGTCCGCGCGCGGAGCAGCAAAGCCGGGTCCCGTACCCCCGCGTTCGCAGACTCGCACTTGCGAGTTCTTCCCTTCTCCCGCACGCGACTGCGCCCAGGGACGCAAGCCCACCACCCGGACAGGCTTACAAAGCTCCACGCAGACCCACAAGTGAGCGAACACACAGCTCTGAGCAGATCTGCCCGGGCAGAGGAGCGCGCTTCGCTCTTTCCTGCACCCCTAGCCTCCTCGCCTCCCCTGCCCGCCCCTCCTCCACCTCCCCAGCCCCCAAGCCCCGGGGCAGCCGCGCGCCGGGCGGGGCGAGGGCGGGGCGGGGTGTCGGGCGGCGCCGGCCCAAAAGGCGGAGTCGCAAGGCGAAGGGGCCAGATCTGTGAGCCCAACGCTGACTTCGCCGCGGAGAAAGCCAGCGGGAACCCAGACACCTAGGAGCCCGGCGTCCCCGCCCGGCCTGGCCAGGCCCCGCGCTATGGAGTTCCTCTGGGCCCCTCTCTTGGGTCTCTGCTGCAGTCTGGCCGCTGCTGATCGACACACCGTCTTCTGGAACAGTTCAAATCCCAAGTAAGCCTCGAGTCTTCCACTGGCAGCCTGGACTCCCGGCTGGCACTGCCCTCCCTATCGGGATAACTGTCCCGGCCAACCCCTGAGCTGAGCCTAGAGTAGATGACCGAGGTAGGAGAGCTACTGTAGATTTTCCTCCCCTCACTTCTCCCTCATATCTGGGAGCACCCCACCCCGGGGCAGGAACCTGCTCGTGTCTACTTGCATGGGCTTATATCTGCCCTTCCCTTCCTTCTCTCTGGTACCCCTATTACTCTGAAGTGAGGGACCTATGCTGGGCAGTTCCTGCCTCCAGCATAGACTTCGCCCCTGGCAGCCAGGGCCCTTGTTCTAGGTCCCCCCTACGTTGAAAGCCTCCACGCCCCTCCTTGTGTGTCCTTTGGGCATCTGACCACACTGACAGGTACCTGGTGTGACATCAAGAGTGCGCAGAATGCTCAAGGGAACCCTGAAAGGACCTCTCAGGAGAGAGCTGGGCTGTAGGCATTCATTATGCATTCACCCTGTATTTAAAGCAAACCTGGAAAGTCCCCCACTAGGGGTCTTTTGGGGTGGCATGAGTGAGGCACATGCTGTGCATGGGTAGGTTGAGGGAATCACCTGTTTATGGGGCTCTCAAGTAGTAAAATTGAAGAGCTGGGAGAGGGAGATCATGGGAAAGCTTCAGAAGGAACAGAAGGGGTTAAAGGGATTACAGAAGGCTCTGGGCAGGAAGGAGTTAATTTCTCCTGGGCAGGTTTAGGGCTGTGAGGCAAATGGTACTGGGAGGAAGACTCTTGTCGGCCCCTTTGTTCTTGCCCTTGAGTTTTCCGAAGTTATGGGAACAATATTTGCGGGAATATAGGATAGGGTGGTAGGGAGGACGGGGAGAGAACTGGGCAGCTTGGTATCACCAAAGCCATCTCACCGACTTAGCCAGTCTCAGCCCTAGCGAGCTTGCCCCCTACTCCCCTTGAGAAATATGTTGTGCCAGCTTCCTCTGACCCTGTGGCATCGTCTGGTGAGGCAGTCTGTTGTCTGTGGCTTGTTGGGGTCGGGGAGAGAACAGCCAGCTGCCAACCCCAGAGGGCAATGCCCTCCTGCACATGGATGCTGGGGAGGCCCAGCCAGCCCTCTGCCACCCGCTCCCTGTGCTTTGCCTCCTTGACCCGATGCATCTTGCCCTAGTATGGGAGAGAGCAAAGTCCCTGTTTATGCCCATTCCAGGTGTTGACTGAAGAAGGAGGAGGGGACAGGAAGCCATGAGTAGGGAGGGGGGGACCCTGGCCTTTTCCGTTCCCAAGCTCCCAAGTTTCCTCTCTTTCAGGAAGGAGCCTCTTCCTTACCCACCTCCCCGCCTTCCCTGACGCCACTGCCCCCTTTCCCAGATGGGGAACAAGAGTCAAATGAAGGCTAAGTCGAGCAGACTGTACCCCCAGGAGAGGGGGCTGATGGGTGACCCTCTGGCCACACACACACACACACACACACACACCCTATCATACCCAGGACTAAAGAGATGCTAGTCCAGAGTAGAGTCCGTAGGCAGCCAAGCTGGGCCCAGCGTGGGGGCAAATATGAGGCTACAATGAACGGGGTAGGTGAGGCTGGCATGGGTGACTCAGGCCAGTGGGCAGCAGCCCTGGGATCTCCAGGCCTCAGGCGGGGGCAGCATGCTGAGAAGGGCGCCAGCCTCCCTCGTGCTGGAGGGCAGGCCCCTCATTCCGACCTGCTGGCTGCCTTTGTTTGGAGGACAGTGTTGGGGGTGAGTGGGCGCTGTGCCCTCCTGGGGTCCTAGGGGCTGTCCACATTTGACAAGGTAAATTTTCACAGGTTCTCATGAGTGCTGGGGCGGGTAGCAGAGGTGGATGAGGAATGAGTCAGTGCCCGTCACGGGAATGAGGGAAAGACGCCAGGCCCAGAGCTGAAATACCTGTTCCGAAATGGCTTCTATGTTTATCTCTCCAGAGAGGAATTTTAAAAGCCTCTCTCTGCTCCTCTCTCTCTTTTCCCCAGGGTGGGGGAGGGGCCTGGTAAGCCCAGTTTGGGCGCTGGCGTGCTGCTGCAAAGCCTGGCCTCTCTGGGGTCATGCTGATTGGGCAGTGGGTGCCCATCTCAGAGTCCTCTCCACCTGACTCCTTCCTCGCCCTCCCAGCCGTGGCCAGTGCTTTCGGTTCGAAGCAAGTTGACGCTAATTCTGCTGAGTCTCTAGCTGGCAGTGCCTGGGGGAATTAGAGAAACTGAGCAGCTTCGGGGGTTGTGGGGAGCACTTTTCCCCCTACTGGGACCCCACCCAGGCTGGAGCCAGGTGTCTGGGGCTGGTGGGGAGGGGCTGGTGGGCAGTCAGGCTGGAGCCGGTGGGGCCAGGGGGAATGAACTAGGGGAGGGGAGCTGGCTTCACCTTGGGAGGAGGGGAGAGGAGAGGAGAGGGGAGAGGCTGTCTCAAGCCCAGAGCTCCAGCATTTCATCTGGCGGGAGGTGGAAATGTGGCTTTTGGAGAAAAAAGGACAGGGATGTTTGGGGATGCTCTAAGAAGGGGAAAAGGAGACCAGTGTATAACTTTGAGTAGCTAGAAAAGGAGATTTGAGGGGGGCTGAAGGAATTGATGAGTGATTTAACTTAAAGGACTAGGGGCATTATCTGTGGGCCCGGGTATATTAGCTTCACTTTTGAGGAAAAGTGAAGCTAGGAAATGTGAGATCTACTCAGTGGGTCCGGGGAAACGTGAGAGGAGTAAGGAAGGTGAAGACACAGATGTGTTGGGGGCTCGGGGCTAGCATGGTAAAGAGAAAGGGTTTCCTGGATTCTGATTACAAGATAGACCGGTGGGGTCTCAGGTTGAGGCCTAACAGCATTTAAAAGGAGCAACTGGTATAACAGATTTGGGGAAATATTTATGGGTAGAAGAGAATGATGAGTGAGTTACAGAAATAGGTAGAAGCCCATCCTTGAGTAAACATCACGCGGGTTATGGAAAATGCTTTGGTACCTGAAAGATACTGAGTGGATGCTATTTGAAAGACCAACAGGAGACAGTGATGGTGCGGGGGAATGTTTAGAGATGGCAGAGAGAAATGTAAGACATCAAGATCAGTACATATTGGGAGTTGAGACTTTGGAAAAATCTCTTGGGGTCTAGTGTGAAATGTGAGAGGTCATGTAAACATTTGGAGGTCCAAGGATCTGGCCCGGCTTCTGAATGACCCCCTGCTTCTTCCCCCGTGTGTGTCCCCAGGTTCCGGAATGAGGACTACACCATACATGTGCAGCTGAATGACTACGTGGACATCATCTGTCCGCACTATGAGGATCACTCTGTGGCAGACGCTGCCATGGAGCGGTACATACTGTACCTGGTGGAGCGTGAGGAGTACCAGCTGTGCCAGCCCCAGTCCAAGGACCAGGTCCGCTGGCAGTGCAACCGGCCCAGTGCCAAGCATGGCCCAGAGAAGCTGTCTGAGAAGTTCCAGCGCTTCACACCTTTCACCCTGGGCAAGGAGTTCAAAGAAGGACACAGCTACTACTATATCTGTGAGTGCCTGTGAGGGGACAGTGGCTGTTTTTTTTTTTTTTTTGCCACCACGTACATGCTTGGGTACATGCTTGGTGCAGAGTCCAGCAGTAGAGGGCCCCTTCCAATCTTGAATTCTATTTTCATTCATCCACATCCCAATGTGAGTGAGCTTCTACGTGCTGGGCACTCTGCTTGGCACTACCAGCACAGAGATAAATAAAACACTACAGAGTCCCTGTCCTCACGGAAGCTGAGAAGAAACACACATAGGTTAACAGACCCTTAGAACAGTATGCTACGGTAGACGTGAACACAGGGGCCTTGGGAAAATGACCTGGGTACCTGCCAGGCTATGGGGCTCAGAGAAGGCTCAGTGGGGAAGATGATCCCAGAGCTTAGGACAGGCAGAGGAGCTGGCCAGGCATGAAGGCATACGTACAAAGGGAGCATGACATCTTCAGGGAACTTCCTATGGCTCAGCCTGGCTGGAGTGGGAAGGATACAGTCAGTGAGGAGATGTGAGCCTGGAGAGGTGGACAGATGGACAGAACAGACCATGGGGGAACTAAAAAGTGATAAGGAGTTTGGACTTTATCCTGAGGGCTCTCACCAATGATGGGTTTTATTTCATTTTACTTTATTTTATTATTTTGAGATGGAGTTTCACTCTTGTTGCCCATGCTGGAGTGCAGTGGTGTGATCTCTGCTTACTGCAACCTCTGTCTCCCAGATTCAAGCAATTCTCCTGCCTCAGCCTCCCGAGTAGCTGGGATTATAGGCATCTGCCACCACACCCAGCTAATTTTGAATTTTAGTAGAGACAGGGTTTCACCATGTTGGTCAGACTAGTCTTGAACTCCTGACCTCAAGTGATCCGCCTGCCTCGGCCTCCCAAAGTACTGGGATTATAGGCGTGAACCACCGCGCACAGCCTGATGGATTTTAAGTTATGAGATCATCCAGCACTTTGGGAGGCCGAGGCAGGCAGATCACCTGAGGTCAGGAGTTCAAGACCAGCCTGGCCAACATGGTGAAACCCCAACTCTACTAAAAAAATACGAAAATTAGCCGGGTGTGGTGGCGCACCTCTGTAGTCCCAGCTACTCAATAGGCTGAGGCAGGAGGATCACTTGAACTCAGGAGGTGTGAGGTTATAGTGAGCCGAGATCACACCATTGCACTCCAGCCTGGGTGACAGAGCAAGACTCCATCTCAAAAAAAAGTTATGAAATCAGCTTTGTATAAAATGGGTCTAGGACTCAGTCAGTGGGGGCTAGGCAGTAGTAGTATATATATGTGTGTGTGTGTGTGTGTGTATATATATATATATATTTTTTTTTTTTTCTGAGACGGAGTCTCGCTCTGTCGCCCAGGCTGGAGTGCAGTGGCACGATCTCAACTTGCTGCAAATTCTATCTCCCAGGTTCAATTGATTCTTCTGCCTCAGTCTCCTGAGTAGCTGGGACTACAGGCATGTGCCAGTAGAGACGGGGTTTCACCATATTGGCTGGCCAGGCTGGTCTCGAACTCCTGACCTCGTGATCTGCCCACCTCAGCCTCCCAAAGTGCTGGGATTACAGGTGTGAGCCACCACACCTGGCCTAGGAGTAGTATTAAGTGGCCCAGGCAAGAGGAACATATTCAGACTCGGAGAAGTGAAGGATAAAATGTGGGGAGGGGCAGTGTCTACATTCCTTTTGTCACCACTGCCAAAGCTGAGGGTTATTTCCAAAGAATGGGAGGCTGGGCTGAACATTGGGCAGGAAGTTAGCAAAAACTAAGGAGGGTAGGAATCAAGATTAGAGGGAAGAGAATGAAATTGAGTAGGGAGCTGAGAAAACAGGGCAAGGGGAATTTGGGCTTACATTTTCTTCCACCAAAGGTTTCTCACTTAACCTCCTGTGGGCTTATCTTGCAGCCAAACCCATCCACCAGCAAGAAGACCGCTGCTTGAGGTTGAAAGTGACTGTCAATGGCAAAATCAGTGAGTGTCAGGGCCCTGTGGGCCTCCTTCCTCTATCTATATGCTGGGCGGTCTGGTGATCTGGGATGGTATAGAAGTCTTGCAGCCCAGCCCCTCACACTCACAGCTCTCTGCCTCTTTGATACAGTACCTGATCTACTACCACTCTTGTCTTTCAGCTCACAGTCCTCAGGCCCATGACAATCCACAGGAGAAGAGACTTGCAGCAGGTGGGTAGCTGGAGCAGATTGGGCCTGGGGCACAGGAAGGGGTCTGCTTGAAGAGGTTGGGTACAGGAGGTGGCTCCTTTACCAGGCAGAGGCTGAGGGAATCCTGTTGGGCTGAGGGCAGTGCAAAGAGTAGAGTCACTCACATTCGCGGCCTTTGCCCTCTCACCTTGCAGATGACCCAGAGGTGCGGGTTCTACATAGCATCGGTCACAGTGCCGCCCCACGCCTCTTCCCACTTGCCTGGACTGTGCTGCTCCTACCACTTCTGCTGCTGCAAACCCCGTGAAGGTGTATGCCACACCTGGCCTTAAGGATTGGAACTGGGCTGAAGAGAGGGACAGGCACTCCAAACCTGTCTTGGGGCCACTTTCAGAGCCCCCATCCCTGGGAACCACTCCCACCACAGGCACAAGCTGTCACCTAGCAGCCTCAAAACGGGTCAGTATTAAGGGTTTCAACTGGAAGGAGGCCAACCAGCCCGGCAGTGCCATCCCCACCTTCACCTCGGTGGGATGGAGAAATAAGTGGAGACAGTCTTTTCCCACCATTCCTGCCTTTAAGCCAAAGAAACAAGCTGTGCAGACATGGTCCCTTAAGGCACAGTGGGAGCTGAGCTGGAAGGGGCCATGTGGATGGGCAAAGCTTGGCAAAGATGCCCCCTTCAGAAGACAGCCAGGATGCCCAGATGAACTGACTAAAGGAAAAGCAAGAAACAGTTTCTTGCTTGGGAGCCAGGTACAGGAGAGGCAGCATGCTTGGGCTGACCCAGCATCTCCCAGCAAGACCTCATCTGTGGAGCTGCCACAGAGAAGTTTGTAGCCAGGTACTGCATTCTCTCCCATCCTGGGGCAGCACTCCCCAGAGCTGTGCCAGCAGGGGGGCTGTGCCAACCTGTTCTTAGAGTGTAGCTGTAAGGGCAGTGCCCATGTGTACATTCTGCCTAGAGTGTAGCCTAAAGGGCAGGGCCCACGTGTACAGTATCTGTATATAAGTTGCTGTGTGTCTGTCCTGATTTCTACAACTGGAGTTTTTTTATACAATGTTCTTTGTCTCAAAATAAAGCAATGTGTTTTTTCGGACATGCTTTTCTGCCACTCCATATTAAAACGTATGACCATTGAGCCCCTGCTAAGTGTGAGGCTCTGTGTGCTACAACAGTAGCAACTGGGTTTGAATTTCTTTCTCTCCAAAGAATGCGTGCCCCTCACCAGGCCAAAAGGGTGGGTTGTTTCCTCCTCTGAGGGTTGTCCAGGACCGGAGTGCTCCTGAGAGCAGTCTCTCGGGTTCTGAGCTGCACTCCACTCGAAGTTCTTCCTGTCCAACCTCTACCCCACTCCCACCCCCTCACCGCAGGGCTTTGGCATACTACCGTTCAGGTACTCATGCTGTTTGGGTGAGTCAGGGAAGCTGGGAACTCCAGCTGAGGCATGCGGCCCCGCCCCACAGCCACACCAGCAGAGACGTGTGGGAGGCTGGGAGGGAAAGTTCCCAGCAGCAAGTGGGTTGGACCGGGGGGGTCAGTGATAGAGGCGTCAGTGTATTGGCCACGTCACGTAAAGTTGACCTTGTTGCCCGAGAGGGAGGACAAAAGAGGAAGGCTTGGTGATTCCTGGCAATGTCTGTTATTTGGAGAAAAGGCTTCGGCAGCAAACTCCAGAAAAAAACTTCCCAAACCCTTGGACAGCTGAGGTTCTGATGTGAAGTTCTGGATGGAAAGCGTGCTGAAGTCTGGTTGAACTAGCAAGCTTTTGTTTGGAGGTCCACCGCCGAAGGCGCACAGGCCTGTGGGAACACGACCGTTGAGACCGGGGGGGTCTAGATGATCCAAGAGGCAGGCAGAGTGTGAGGTATCGGGGACACACCTGCGGAGTCCTAAGAAGGGGACCGACCGTGACATGGAGGAGGTCTGGACCTAGGCACTGGGCAGTCACTCCGAGGGGAGGTGCGCGAGTTCCGGTTCGGCGTCGGAGGGAGGGTGGGGCTTCGGCGCAGTTTCCGGAGGGACGGCCAGAGCGCGCGGGGCGGGGCTCCAGCGCCGCAGGTCCGGGCTGCAGTAGGTCCCGGCCACCGCAGGCACGCGGCGGGCGCTGGGCGCGGGATCCGACTCTGGTCGTGATGGAGGCGGGCGGCTTTCTGGACTCGCTCATCTACGGAGCATGCGTGGTCTTCACCCTTGGCATGTTCTCCGCCGGCCTGTGAGAGAGCGGCCGGCTGGGTTGGGGAGGACTAGGAAGTCAGGAAAGGAGAGAGGGGGCAGAGACGTAGCCGCAGCACCTGGCTTGTCCGGAACCGTGATCAAAATGGGATCGGGTTGAGGGGACCGGGGTACAAGGGCGAGGCTGGTCACTAGGCCTGAGGAAGAAGGCAAGATAGCTGGGGGCGGGGGGTGGTCTGCAGTGGTCCGGAAAGGGTGACAGGCATTGGGCATCCGCCTCAAGCACTCTGCTTCTCCCTTCCCACCCCCACCCCTACCTTCGGGGCCCCATTACAGCTCGGACCTCAGGCACATGCGAATGACCCGGAGTGTGGACAACGTCCAGTTCCTGCCCTTTCTCACCACGGAAGTCAAGTGAGGGGGCGACGGCTGCGGCGGTGGGAAAGGCTATCAGAGGGAGGTGGGGGCGGGGCAGGAGGAGCAAGAATGAAAGAGGCTTGGCCGGACGCAGTGGCTCCCGCCTGTAATCCCAGCAGTTTGGGAGGCCGAGACGGGCGGATCACGAGGTCAGGAGATCGAGACCATCCTGGCTAACACGGTGAAACCCCGTCTCTATTAAAAATACAAAAAATCAGCCGGGCGTGGTGGCGGGCGCCTGTAGTCCCAGCTACTTGGGAGGCTGAGGCAGAAGAAATGGCGTGAAACCGGGAGGCAGAGCTTGCAGTGAGCCGAGATCGTGCCACTGCACTCCAGCCTGGGTGACGGGAAAAAAAAAAAAAAGTGAAAGAGGCCCTTTGGGTCCTCCTCTCACACTGAACCCTTTGAGCCATGTCCCTCCCCTCCACCCTGCAGCAACCTGGGCTGGCTGAGTTATGGGGCATTGAAGGGAGACGGGATCCTCATCGTCGTCAACACAGTGGGTGCTGCGCTTCAGACCCTGTATATCTTGGCATATCTGCATTACTGCCCTCGGAAGGTAGAGGCCCTCCCTTGGACCCACCTCTCTGCTGCACGCCCTACCTCGCTGGCAGGGCAAACACTACTTCCTAGAAGACTGTAACAGCTGGCACTGCCACCCTTTCCAGGAAGGCCCCTTCAGCCTTGCAGGTCCCCTTCCTCTATGAAGTCAGCCTTCTGAGATTAACACATTTCCCCCATTTAGGCAAGGCTGGTAGCTCTGCCTAGCCTGAGATGCCTATGCTGCCTGCCCTGGGCTTCTGCCAACAAGCTAAGGGGAAAGGGGTTTTGTCTCCGACAAAACCCGTGGGTGAGAACAAGATGATTAGCTCTGCTTCCCTGCTCAATCACACAAGCGTTTATTAAGCTCCTACTGTGTGTGCTAAGCACACAGAAAAAAACACATCTTTCCCTCCCCTAGAAGTCTCCATTGTTGTGGGTGGATAAGACTTTCCTATCAAGTTGTTGGTGGGAAAGAAGCTGTGACAGTGCAGTGCTGAAGGCCTAGACAGTTTGGCTTCCCCACTGGAGCATGGGAGAAGGCAGGATGAATTAACTCCAGCAGGGAAGTCGGAGAGCATGTCTGGAAGTAAGGCTACTCTCTCCCCTGCAGCGTGTTGTGCTCCTACAGACTGCAACCCTGCTAGGGGTCCTTCTCCTGGGTTATGGCTACTTTTGGCTCCTGGTACCCAACCCTGAGGCCCGGCTTCAGCAGCTGGGCCTCTTCTGCAGTGTCTTCACCATCAGCATGTACCTCTCACCATTGGCTGACTTGGTGAGTGGGGATGTCCAATGAGGTAGGAGAGATGAGTCAGGCTCTCATAGCCACATACTATGGCTTACAGTCCCGAGGAAGGGGAGATTCAAACCCTGGAAGGAGACAAGGCAGTAGAGGTGGGTGAGTGGGAGGCAGGAAAGGTTGGGTGACAGATCAGGGAGGGTGCCTGACCTTTTTCTTGAGGAAATTCTTAGGCAAGTGAAGCTTTACAATGTGCTTGAGCCAAGAGAGTCTTTTATTCTTTCCCACAGGCTAAGGTCATTCAGACTAAATCAACCCAATGTCTCTCCTACCCACTCACCATTGCTACCGTTCTCACCTCTGCCTCCTGGTGCCTCTATGGGTTTCGACTCAGAGATCCCTACATCATGGTAAGCACAACAGGGATGGGGTGACAGGGATGCAAGGTAGAAAACTGGCTCCTCTCCTCATAGCAGTTCTTGTGATTTCAGGTGTCCAACTTTCCAGGAATCGTCACCAGCTTTATCCGCTTCTGGCTTTTCTGGAAGTACCCCCAGGAGCAAGACAGGAACTATTGGTTCCTGCAAACCTGAGGCTGCTCACCTGACCACTGGGCACCTTAGTGCCAACCTGAACCAAAGAGACCTCCTTGTTTCAGCTGGGCCTCCTGTCCAGCTTCCCAGGTGCAGTGGGTTGTGGGAACAAGAGATGACTTTGAGGATAAAGGGACCAAAGAAAGAGCTTTACTTAGATGATTGGTTGGGGCCTAAGAGATGAAATCACTTTATTTTTTAGAGATTTTTTTTTTTTTTAAATTTTGGAGGTTGGGGTGCTATATTTAGAATATGCCTTAAAAGGCCGGGCGTGGTGGCTCACGCCTGTAATCCCAGCACTTTGGGAGGCCAAGGTGGGCGGATCACCTGAGGTCAGGAGTTCAAGACCAACCTGACCAACATGGTGAAACCCCATCTCTACTAAAAATACAAAATTAACTGGGCATGGTGGCACATGCCTGTAATCCCAGCTACTTAGGAGGCTGAGGCAGGAGAATGGCTTGAATCAGGGAGGTGGAGGTTGCAGTGAGCCAAGATCGTGCCATTCTGATATGAATGTGCCTTATATGCCGATATGAATATGCCTTAAAATAAAAGTGTTCCCCACCCCTGCCCATGATGGTTCATTCTCTACTCATGATTCTAAACCTGTCTGGTTTGGTGAAGGGTAAATCCACAGTTATTCTCAGGTTGGTAGGGTAGGCCCAGAAAAGGTATCTCAAAGAACCAAAAGGCTGGAAAGACCCAGAAAGGCCTTAAAAAGAACAAAACTTGGATGTTATGAAGAATGGAAGTTAGGCTTCAAGAAAGTACTTCTGGCCGGGTAAGGTGGCTTATGTCTGTAATTACAGCACTTTGGGAGGCCCAGGCAGGAGGATCACTTGAGCCCAGGAGTTTGAGAACAGCCTGAGCAACACAGCGAGACCCTGTCACTACAAAAAATTAAACATTAGCCTGGCGGCGTGGTGGCACATGCCTGTAGTCCCAGCTACTCTGGAGGCTGAGGTGGGAGGATTGTTTGAGCCCGGGAGGGTGAGGCAGCAGTGAGCCATGATTGCACCACTGCATTCCAGCCCGGGCAAAAGAGTGAGACCCTGTCAAAAAAAAAAAAAAAAAAAGAAGAAGAAGAAGTACGCCGGGCGGCGCGGTGGCTCACGCATGTAATCGCAGCACTTTGGGAGGCTGAGGTGGGCGGATCACGAGGTCAGGAGATCAAGACCATCCTGGCTAACACGGTGAAACCCCGTCTCTACTAAAAATACAAAAAATTAGCCAGGCGTGGTGGCAGGCGCCTGTAGTCCCAGCTACTCAGGAGGCTGAGCCAGGAGAATGGCGTGAACCCGGGAGGCAGAGCTTGCAGTGAGCGGAGATCGCCCCACTGCACTCCAGCCTGGGCGACAGAGTGAGACTCTGTCTCAGAAAAAAAAAAAATAAGAAGAAGTACTTCCTATAGGGCTGAAAGGACCAAGAAAGTGAAATGTCATTTCCATCCTGAGAGATCTTGAGAAGGCGTCTTTGCCTCCTTGGGAGCAAAAATGGGAACACCAGCATGATGCAAAATACAGGCTGAGATGGCCTCAGGAAGGTGGTTCTTTCACATTCACTTCTCGACAGTTAGTACACTGAATCCCCAACACCCATTTTCCATACTCAAACTAAACGAAGTTAGAAAATACTGGCTCTTTAATGGGGCATGGGAGGAAGGGCTGTCCGGACAAGAATGGGGTCAGGCTGTCAGAAGCGCAGCCCCCTGCGGGCTAAGTCGGCTCGGGCCTCCTGTATCTGGCTCTGCAGCTCGCGTGCGGCGTCCTCGCAGTCATGAAAAGTGGCCACACGATAGCCCACAGTGGCCAGGGCATAGCAGCCGGCGGACACCAGCAAGTAGGCGGGCAGTGGCCACAGGACTTCCTGGCAGGACAAGGGCAGCTCCAGGCCCAAGGCTCCCGTAGTCAGGGCCGCCCAGGTGGAGCCCAGGATCGCCAGTCCCCAAAGCCACTGCGCTAATTTCGTCATGGTCACTGCGAGAAAAGAAAACAATGCTCCCCTGAGGAGCAGAAAGGAAAAGCGGACCAAACTCAACCGAAGCTCGCCCAGGGAGAGAGCATTTAAACCAGCCGTAGCCAGAGGGGAATCGCCGATCCCAGCGGTCCGAACTTGAGTGCCCACAAAAGGTGGAAGGGTCCCTTCCACCTTGCTACCCCCTCTATATTTGAGACCCACTCCCCATCTCTCGCCCTCTCCGTTCAGCTTTCAACCTACACTTACCTCTGCCCCACGTCTCCCATTCCCCGCGCGGCCCGGATATTCGCGTCCGGAAGTCCTCCCTGGCCCACGCTGCGCTTCCGCGCGGCCTTCTGGGAGTTGTAGTTCACCTGGCGGTCCTTGGCGTACTCTTGGCCACTGCCTCAGTCTAGGCGGGGTCCAGCGGGCTGCGCTCCGCAAACCCGGAGCAGGCTGGGTCTGGAGAGGCCTGGGCGCTGCTTCCCCACCTTGGGCTACGCTCCAGGCTGGCTTGGATCTTGAGGACATCCTTAAATGTTGCAACAAGATGGGAATATAATACTGTTCCCCTTAAACTCAATTCTCCAGAGCTGAAATCCATTCCTTCATTCACTGGTTCATTCATTCGAACATGTCTTTCTTTTCTTTCTTTCCGTTCTTGACAGGGTCTCTCTAGACTGTCTAGGCTGGACAGAACTTTTTTTTTTTTTTTTGAGACGAAGTCTCGCTCTGTCGCCCATGCTGGAGTACAGTGGCGCGATCTCAGCTCACTGCAACCTCTGTCTCCCAAGCAGCTGGGCATTACAGGCGCATGCCACCGCCGCTAATTTTGTATTTTAGTAGAGACGGGTATTTCACTATGTTGGCCAGGTTGGTCTCAAACTCCTGACCTCAAGTGATCTGCCCACCTCAGGCTCCCAAAGTGCTGGGATTACAGGCATGAGGCACCGCGCCCAGCCAGAACATTTACTGATTACCATGATAGACTTTGGAGATTCAGAGTATCACAAAGACTCGACTCCTCTTTGGATGGAGGGGGAAAGCAGGAGTCAGGGAAACAGTTGCATTGACAACTAACCATGAAGGCTTGAGATTATGTTAGAACAGAGAGTATCTAGTAATACTACTATATAATACCTATATCTATCTTTTTTGTTTTTTTTTCGAGAGTCCTCGCTCTGTACCCAGACTGGGCCCAGTGCAGTGGCCGATCTCAGCGCCTCACTGCAAGCTCCGCCCTCCGCTTCCCGCCATTCTCTGCCTCAGCCTCCCCGAGTAGCTGGGACTACAGGCGCCGCCACCATCGGCCCGAGCTAGTTTTTTTGTATTTTTTAGTAGAGACGGGGTTTCACCGGGTTAGCCAGGTATGGTCTCAATCTCCTGACCTCGTGATGTCCACCCGTCTCGGCCTCCCAAAGTGCTGGATTACAGGCTTGAGCCACCGCCGCCGGACCGGTAGTTATATTCATTTACAAGGACAACAACGAATATAACTTGGGAGCCAGAGGAAGAAGGGCTCCAGGGAGGCTGCTGTTTAAAAAAAAAAAAAGAAAGAAAAGGAAAAGAAAGAAGATCGGGAAGAATTACGTGAGGTGGTGAAGGCACTGAAAGAAGGAGTATAATTCTTTCGAACATTTTTGGGGATGAATTTATTACACAGAGAAAGAGAAAGAGAGAGAGAGAACTAAGTAAGAGAAAAGGTTAGGCAATTATCAACTTCAGAGGAAACAAAGAGTTATAAAAGAAAGGAAAGACAATTGATAAAAGCCTGTCTTATAAAGACCACATCTGTAGTTTGACAGTTAGGTTTATTAACTTGCTGCATCAGAGAGAACACACTAGAGGAACTGTGGGGCAATTCATTAAAAAGGAAGAAACATGGTCATTACGGGTGATATGGTTTGGCTGTGTCCCCACCCAAATTTCAAGTTGATAAGTATCTCCCAGAATTCCCACTTGTTGTGGGAGGGACCCAAGGGGAGATAATTGAATCATGGGGGCCACTCTTTTTTTTTTTTTTTTTTTTTGAGACGGAGTCTCGCTCTGTCGCCCAGGCTGGAGTGCAGTGGCGCGATCTCAGCTCACTGCAAGCTCCGCCTCCCGGGTTTACGCCATTCTCCTGCCTCAGCCTCCAGAGTAGCTGGGACTACAGGCGCCCGCCACCGCGCCCGGCTAAGTTTTTGTATTGTTAGTAGAGACGAGGTTTCACCATGTTAGCCAGGATGGTCTCGATCTCCTGACCTCATGATCCGCCTGCCTCAGCCTCCCAAAATGCTGGGATTACAGGCGTGAGCCACCGCGCCCGGCCAATGGGGGCCACTCTTTCACGTGCTATTTTCATGATAGTGAATAAGTCTCACAAGATCTGATGAGTTTATCGGGATTTCTGCTTTTGCTTCTTCCTCATTTTTCTCTTGCTGCCACCATGTAAGAAGTGCCTTTTGCCTCCCGCCATGATTCTGAGACCTCCCCAGCAATGTGGAACTGTAAGTCCAATTAAACCTCTTTTTGTTTGCAGTTTCGGGTATGTCTTTATCAGTAATGTGAATATGAACTAATACAACAGGATACTGGAAATGCTTGACTTTAAAATTTATATTTTAAAATTTATTTACTTATTCATTTAGAGTTGAAGTCTCACTATGTTGCCCAGGCTGGGCTCAAACTCCTGGACTCAAGTGATGCTCCTGCCTCAGCCTCCCAAGTAGCTGATACTATAGGCTAGCTAAAAGTTAAATGAAGCACTGTTTTCATAGGTTCGAGGTAAGCATAACTTTAAGTGAAGAGGTCGAGAAGAAGTCCAAGCTGAGGGACCACTTGGAAATTACAAAGTTAAGATAAATGTAGAATATAGTGTCCAAAAACCCACTATCTAGACTGGGCACAGTGGCTCATGCCTGTAATCCCAACACTTTGGGAGGCCAAAGTAATCCACATGGCTCAGAACTTCTAGCAAGAGTAAGATGTTCCATTCGCACTGACTGATTTCAGACAGCAAAGTTTGTGACTATGATTTTAGAAAATGAAGTTTCTCAGCCTTATGTCTTTGATGTTAATTAACAAAAGCAGTTTTTACAGATTCACAGTCTTAGCACAAACACAAATGGCTCAGCTGTGAAGAAAATTTTCACAGCCGTAACAGTGTAAACACTAAGTATTGATTTAACTAAAAATTGGAGCCGGGCACAGTGGAGCTGTGATCCCAGAACTTTGGGAGGCCTAGGCCGGAGGGTTGTTGAAGAAATGTAGAGGTAAGTACCAGAAGAAGTAGCGTAGAAACTGGAGCATGGTTGTATATGTAGGTTGTATATGTAAGGGTTAGAGAAGAGGAGCAGGGGATGGTTATTTTTCATTAAAAGCCTTGTAGAGTTACAACTCTTTTTTTTTTTTTCCTATTCTTTTTCTTTTTTTGAGACAAAGTCTTGCTCTGTTGCCCAGGGTGGTGAGCAGTGGTGCGAACACCGTTTACTGCAGCCTTGACCTCCTGGACTCAAGCTATCCTCCCACCTCAGACTCTGGAGCAGCAAGGACTACAGAAGTGGGCCACCACACCCAGCTACTGTGTGTGTGTGTGTGTACGTAGACGGGATCTCCCTATGTTGCCCAGGCTGGTCTCAAAATCCTGGGCTCAAGCAATTCACCTCAGCCCCCACAAAGTGCTGCTATTACAGTCGTGAGCCACCACGTCCACTGAAGTTACAGCTTTCAGAATTTGTTTAGCGGGTTTTCCGGTTTTCACTTGAAAATGCCCCACCACCCCCCAAAAATTTGTTGAACTAGTTGGCGTTTAAAACTATACACATTCCTTTGTTAAAGTAAAAATTAAAATAAATAAAAACTTTTTTTTTTTTTTAAATGGAGGCCCCCCCTGTTGCCCAGGCTAGAGTGCAGTGGCATGACCTCAGGTCACTGCAACCTCCACCTCCCGGGTTCAAGCAATTCTCCTGCCTCAGCCCCCCGAGTAGCTGGGATTACAGGCTCCCGCCACCATGCCTGGCTAATTTTTGTGTTTTTAGCAGAAACGGGGTTATTCCTTTGTTAAAGTAAAAATTAAAATAAATAAAAACTTTTTTTTTTTTTTTGAGACAGAGTCTTGTTCTGTGGCCCAGCCTGGAGTACAGTGGCGTGATCTCGGCTCACTGCAACCTCCGCCTCCCAGGTTCAAGCTATTAGCCTGCCTCAGCGTCCAGAGTAGCTGGGACTACAGGCACACACCACCACACCCAGCAAATGTTTGTATTTTTATTAGAGACGGGGTTTCACCATGTTGGCCAGGCTGGTCTCAATCTCCTGACCTCAGGTAATTCGCCCCCTTGGTCTCCCAGAGTGCTGGGATTACAGGAGTGAGCCACCGCCCCTGGCCAAAAACATTTTTTAAAACCTGCTATACGACTTCAACGCCCTAGCTGCATCTCCATTTCTACCCCAAATCTTTCTGGTTTCTCAGTCAAGGACTCACTGGTCACAATGACTTTCAAATATTGGCACACTATAGGGGCTGGATACCAGCACTGCAGATGCAGATCCTGGAAGTCCATTTTATTCACACACAGTAGACTTGGCCCTGAAAGACTGCCACTCCCCAGAACATTTTAGGGGCTTACACCACCACATATAAGGATAGATAATACATTATAAATTTTTTTGGTTTTGGGGTTTTTTTTTTTTTTTTTTTTGAGACAGAGCAGAGCCTCGCTCTGTCACCCAGACTGGAGTGCAGTGGTACAATCTCGGCTCACTGCAACCTCTGCCTCCCGAGTTCAAGCGATTCTCCTGCCTCAGCTTTTCGAGTAGCTGGGATTATAGGCGCCTGCCACCATGCCTGGCTAATTTTTGTATTTTCAGTAGAGACGGGGTTTCACCACGCTGGCCAGGCTGCTCTGAAACTCCTGACCTCAGGCGATTCGCCCGCCTCAGCCTCCCAAAGTGCTGGGATTACAGGCATGAGCCACCGCGCCCGGCTAAACGAAGTAGCCACTTTTCTATTCCCATGTATGAATGAGGAAACCACGACACAGAAAGGGCAAAAGGTAAGTAACTAGCTCAAGGTCGTGCAGATGGTAAACAGCAAAGCTGTTCCATTGGACCCAAAACTATATTCTTAGCACTTTCATTCTACTGTGTTGCTGCTACAGGAATGGGCAGGTAGGGTTTATCACAACAGCTGACATTCACTATGTGTCAGCTCTATGTCACTATATTCCTATGTGTCAGGCACTGTGATGAGTACTTTATGTGCATTATCTCAGTCAATCTTCACAGCAACCATACGAAATAAGTACTACTGGCCGGGCGCAGTGGCTCACACCTGTAATCCCAGCACTTTGGGAGGCTGAGGCGTGTGGATCACTTGAGGTCAGGAGTTGGAGAC